TGTATCACAGCTGAAAGGGAAAGGGAGGAATGGGAAAGAATGAGACCAACAGAGAGAAAGTCAAAGTGAGAGCAAGTGAGAGGAAAAGACAGAAGGGAGGGATTTGTGTGTGCAGAGGTACGTACTATTGTGTTTTGGGTTTTGATTTTCTGATCAGTGCTGAGGGGGAAGAAATGCAATATTCGACAGTGAATTTCTAACCATACCCTTGTGTAATGTAACGGAGAGGGGAGAAACAGAACAAAGTGACTTTCAAGTACCCAAGGGCAGCATTCAGTGCTGAAGTGCGTTCAAAGTTATTATTATGTGCATCTCTCCCACAATTCACAGAAAAATGCTGAGGGGGACTTTCTGAAATATTGATTTCATGGGGCAATTAAGTTTTTGCTCCCTAACTGTGCCCCTCATTGTTGTGTAAGGCTGTGTGTAAGACACAATAGACAATAACTTCTACCTAGTGCACTTTTACAAGTGTTCTCAAAAAGTATTATGAAAAAATGTTTTTGAAATGTGCGATACAGCCAGGGCCTTATCTGCATGAAGATTTCATTTAGCTTTGTTTAATATTAATTTCCCCACTAAATATAATTGTACACTGTTGGTACAACTGACAAATCTAAGAAGAGCTTCAGTTGTTTGGTCATTAGACAGTAACTTCCCCTAGAAATAAACATCTTAGTTACTTCCCAGCCATGCGTGAAGGGACTAAAATGAATTCACTAAGCACATATACTGTTCGAGAGTTTAGACTGGAAACAGCACTGCTGGCTAAAAACATTAACGTGGCAGTGACAGATACTGAAACCAGTGGTGAAACCTCCAATGCAGTAGAACTTTGTCACACAGTGAATCTCCCCATATTTTTATTGAAGTATTGCAGACGAAATCTGTTTTAGAGGTGGAGGGGAGGTATAAATAGTTCCCTTGTATCTGACAAGGCATCTTTAATCACTACATTAGAAGGACTTAAAAACTGGTTGGTCATGGGGGCTCTCCACAAGACACACACGCAACATGTATAGGTCCCTGAGTGCATATCTGTAGCAACTGTTTGGCTACCTGACGCTGTCAATCAGCTGTTGATGCTCCTCTGTGATCAAGATGTCGGGCAGGGCCTCAGCCAGACTCTCAACATCCCTCTCAGCAGCAAACTGCTTGAGCACCTCAAACAGCTGTTCCTTCACGTCTGGCTCCTCTCCTAGCACTTCCTCCACCTGACGGATAAATAAATGCACGAACATGAACTTTGAGTACAAAATTACGTTGGAGATATAAATACAGAAAACTTTGAGAAACACCCACCTTCTTATTGAACTCCATGGCCTTGTGGGCGCGACTCTCCCTGACGCTGTCTCCACTCTGCGACAACACCCTCATGCTGCTGCTCAGTCGCTTGGGCCGCCGGGCCATACTGAGCACGCCCAGACGCAGAGGCCGACCCTGTGCTGCTTTGATCATGGCTGCTGCTGTTTCATGGTGCTTCACTGGGATGCCGTTCACCTCCATGACGTAGTCCCCGACCTTGAGGCCACTGCGACCGGCGGGGCCGTTGGGCATGCAGTCCTCCACCATCAGAGGACAGTCTCCAACGATAGTGAATCCAAAACGACCATCTGGGCCGGGAGTGATGTCAATCTGACAAGGGGAAATACACCTCAGTGTAGTTTTCACCACTGCAGAGCTGAATGTCATGTGTTTTTAGCGTTTCTCTATTAAAAACAGAAAATGTCAGCTGACCTGTTCAATGCGTGACACCACTCCGATGCTGGGTGGCACCGTCTTGAGGGTCTGAGCCAGAGCGATCAATGCCGGTGTGCTGAGGTTGGTCACATCCTGGCCCTCGATATCCACCACCTGGTCCCCAGGCTGCAGGCCAGCTAGGTAGGCACTGCTGCCCTCCACCACGGACAGGATGTAGCTGGGCCCAGTGCCACCGAGTCGGAAGCCAAACGCCTCAGGCCAGTTCTGATTGGTGGCTGGGAGGCCCAGGTCTGAAGGGACAGAAGATGACACTTGAAAAATGCAGAGCTGCTCAAATACATAATTAACACGTTACTTGGTAGTGGAAGTTATTGTGAAGGGGCAGCCAGAAAGGTGTGTTGGCTTGGAGTGTTTTTAACTGGAAGGTGAAATCTTTTGTTGCTTGTAGGATACGCATGTGTTTTTAGCATGTAATCTGGTGTAAGATGCTCATGCAGACGAGCTGTAAAATGGAGGTCAAATGGTCCGTTGGTTTAAATAGGGCACCTCAGTGGTGGAGCTGCCTAGCTGCAGCAGCAGGTACACTGGTCCATTTAACCAAGCCACAAATATAAAGACACAGAAGTCACGTCACAGAGCTTTTTCAGATTGATAAGATTTGTTTTTCTTGTTGAGTGACAGAAAGTGGGGAAATAAATAGAGTGAAGGTTATTTCTGACTGCTGGTATCCAGCCTTCATGTTGAACTGCTGGCCTTCCCCTGGTCACTGGCCTCATTCTACTGCAGCAGGAAGTGTCCCAAAAGACTCACTTGACTTCATCGCCTCTCATCTACAGCCATCTGCATATGGCAAAGATATAATATATATATTATATGTAGGACGTTATAACGATTGGTCAGTCCAGTTTAGGTTCTCTCACACCTTAAACTTGCTTCATTATCTGGATCACAAAATCAAAAATCCACAACATTTGTGCTTGCCGATATCTTTGTTTAATTTTATTTGTGCAATTAAAATTTTCCTATCTTTTTTGCCCTGCTCTGTTGTCCTTTGCCCTTCTCACACTTGTATTACTAGACTACTCACAGTACATACAGCAGACCCAGAGTTCACTGAATCTACTGTTTATATTTAGATTCAGATTTCTGTGAAAGTCATCGGATGAAAAGTGTTTCCCTCAAGTCAACGTGATGCTGCCACTCCCATCAACAATGATTTTAATGTAATAGTCTCATAATGAAGAAACAAAGGTGCAAAATTAGATGGGAAAATATGACATTCTGAACTATAACAGAGCACACTTATGCAAAATACATTACAAAACTGAAAATCAACAGTTGCATACAGCCATCCATCAAACCACCGGCACCAAACCGCTCCCTTTTTGTAATTGATCACAGGCACAGAAAGATGTAGACAGAGGAATTGTAAGACAGACGGAGAAAGACTAAATTAGAGACGGGAAGTAAGAAAAGTAACAAGAGAAAGTGTACAAGAAGTGAGAAAATAAGTCTGTACAAGACTTTGCAAAGAAATGTAGAAATGTCAGATCTGCTTCAATGCAAAAGAAAAAAAAAATAGGCGCAGGCCTACATATTCAGGTTGAGATGTGGCTGAGTGAATAAAACATATCAAATCCAAAGACTCAAAGAGCCACACAACTTGGTGTCAGCTTGCTGAGAGGAAACGTCAAACTGCAGCTGATTATTGATCTGAAATAGATTGGGAAATCACTGACGTGGAGCTGCGGGTGATAATTATTTCTCCCCACCAGAACACAAGCAGCACTCAAGATTGTCAAGACTTCTTTGTTCTGTTCTCTCCAGCCTGAGACCCACATACACACTCTCAGCCATCCTTTCACTCCCTTCTTTATCTCAACACCAGCAGACGAAGCATTTCACAAACATCATGTAAAAGCCATGACTCAGAGAAACAGACTTACAGAAATCTTTGGAGGCACTCCGGGTCCCAGACTTGCTCTGGCGCAGGGAGAAGCGGCCCTTTCTGCTCAGGAAACGCCTCATCCTTGCCCGGCTTGCGGCAGGGCACGTTCCAGCCAGCCTCCCTTCACCCCCGACCTGGAGGTTGATGCAGCCAAAGAGTGCCCTCGGACACCCTTGTGCTGCTCCTCACCTGAGCTCGCTGCCTCCAAAAGCCTCTACCCAGCTAGGCGAAAAGAAGTGTACCTAAAAGGTCACATCTATAGGTTATCTGGACCAGTGCCTCCCCCTGTTCTCAATCAGACAACCAGCGGTCTGCAGGCGAGGAGAGGGAGGCCGGAGGAGAGCGTCCGAAAGTCAGGCTCTCCATCCTGGGTGAGGTGGTCCAGCCTCAGCCTCAGCCTCAGTCCAAACCCTATGGCTGAGCAACGATCTGAAAACTGGGACACGCTCACTTGGTCCTGAAATGGTTCTTTGCAAGAAAAGGTACTGCGAAGCCCCATTTTTCTATAAATACCTTTCCCTCTCTCTCTCCCACCCTCACTCTCTGTCTTCCTCTGTTGCTCATGTGGATTGGGCCCCTCTCAGAGGGCTGAGGACTGACCCAGAAACTGTGTGGTGTACCAGCCAGGGACACTTCTCCGATTATAGCGGCTGTGTCAACCTCAGTACTGGAGCACCAGTTACAGACGTGGCCTACAGATATGCTCAAGGTTACCCGCACCAAATACAGCAGTACTTCAGCTAGGCCAACCAGCTATGGTGAATTTAATACAGGACTGCAAATACTAATAAAAAGGTTTCTCAGAGCACGTGTCCCAGTGGGAGGCAAAACAGGGGACGCTGTGTTTTACATGGCAGGTGTGTGTGGTTTCAAAGTAGGTGGTATTCCCATGATGAGATGGTAGATGACATTCACTCTACAGCCAGACACCACTAAAAACAATGAAAAGAAATGAAAGAAGACTGCTACACAGGATGATATACAATTAAAAAAAAAAATGACATGATCTTATAATAGCAACACAGACAAGAGATCTGCTGATATTTTTCACTAAAGTTTGGGGGACTTGCAAACCAAGAGGTATCAACCAGTCAAGGTAAACTCTCATAATTAAATGGGAAAGAAAACATTCCACATACAATAAGCTATGACAGGTTTAGCTGATTATTTGCAAGATTGAAAATCAATTCAGTTAGGGTAGGGTAAATGTTATTTGTTTCCTCTCACTATCAAAATCACTTTTCAAAAACAAATATATGTACAGTAAATATGACTGAATCTCATTAGTTCAGACAAAAAAAAAAAAAAAAAAAAAAAAACAGGATATCAATAAAGATAGATGGAAGGTAACTGTATAAGAAAATAGCATTTATTTGATGCAAACTCTGCTTGAGCAAACTGAACACATTTTAATGTCGGGTTCATCAGTCATGCTTAGCTCAGAAGAACAACACTGTACCATGGGAGGCTCATACACTCCCTGCATGGCCTCAAACAGGCAGGCACACACGCACAAGATCGGTCGGTCTTTAAAAAGGTGTCACATTTCAAAGTGGAGACGAGGAGTTTCAAAACTTGACTGCAGCCGACCCGGACATCAGAGAGGAGAAGTGAAAACAACGATGAAATGATGCTATTTTAGGTAGTCCAAGAAAGAAGGAATTTCACCGTTTGTCTGCAACAAAGAAAAGAGACCAGGCTACAACAGATGAAGGCAAAGATATGTTCAGTTTGCACCACGTAAAAGAAATATGCATCTGTTCAGGCTTTCAAAATGAAAACCTTACAAAAATGCATCTAGTTATTTTAAGTTGTGTGCACTAAAGGTTCAAAATTTCATTCTGAACGCAGTGCTTCATTTTAGTAAATCAAGCCACAAAAATTAAACACAATGGAACTAGTCTTCATGCACATTCATTCTTTGTTTCACACACATTTCTATGTAGGTTGTTCCATTTCTGTAAAAGGACAAACCGTACACACTTTGGCCTTTGTTTTAAATTCAAAACTCACACATGAAGCTCATAAAAACTCAACAGTAAACTGCTACAAAGTTTCAGTCGCGGCAAATGTATTACAGTTCATAGTTAGCGTCCAACTCCATCATACAATGACAGTCTGAATCTCCACCTCCTCTGGGGAGGTGATAACATATTCCTCTTGCTGCTCCACCATCTGTATTCCCTCTTCCACCGTTTCTTCTGTGGTAACCATAGTAACTGTTCCGTCTGCCGTCTCCACGGTGCCTGCCGTGGCCAGCAGCGTGCCGTCACTGATGGCGGAGGCCAGCGTCATGGCCACCTGCTCCGTCAGACTTTCGGGCGTAGCGATGGTGATGGTGTCACCACAGTCGGAGATGGACGCGCCCTCCTCGTTCATCGCCACATTGCGCACAATGATCTGGTGGCTGCCTGTGCCGCCGGTGCCATGCGACTGGCTGACAATCCGTTGCACCACTTTCATGATGTGGTTTCCCATCTGGCAGGTTTGATATAAAGAAAGGTTTAAATAGCGTTATTAGATAATGCAAATACAATTAACAGTATTAGACCTTTTGGTGCAACAATTAGAAACATTATAGAAACATATGCTTATCAACCCATCTCGCACTCTGTAACTGCTATAGATCACACAGATGTTCTTATTTTTGCATCTAATTATGTTCACTGACCTCGTTTTGGCTGTCTTGAATGAGTGTAACCTCTTCTTCCTGCACGTCCTCCTCTGTTTGAGTCTGGAAGATAGGAGAGAAGCAGAGCAAATAAAATAAATGACACAAGCTAGCAGCATTAATACAGCACATTTAATTATTTTCTTTACAGTGACCTGAAATAGAACTCATGGGTAAATAAAAGCCAGAAATAAACTCATGTGGTCTGAATCTAGTTACAATAAGTACTTTAAAATAAATGATCACGACAAACAGTCCTACTTTTTGAAGACATAGTTTGTGCATGCTGTTTAAGTAAAAGCTTAACTTGCTGTAAAAGTCACCTACATAAATCACGAGTTGTAAAGTCCTTCAAAAGTGATGCCAAGCTGCAATGAGTTACACTGTAACAGAATACAGTGTTTGAAGCTTCACAGGAACTGACTGAGCCTTTTTCACAATGAATAATAATTGTTTCCTGCAGCCATGGATCAGACTGACACACTGAGTTTAAAATAAAATCAAAACTAACTGCAGACTAAAAATTTGCAAGAAAAAGAAATGCCTCCAAGTTCAGTTGCTGCTCTACTGTCCTATAGCAGCTTCTGGAGATTCATCTACTCACGTTAATCCAAGGGTTTAATAGTAGTGTAGTCTTTTGTAGGCCTCTCCAGCATTAGTTGGACCACAAATGCTTAAAAATGTCTTCAATAAAAACAAAAAATGGCACAGTATTTTTTATTTAAATTGTGTTTCTGATATGAATATTTCATTCTAACTGGAATTTCTGCAAAATTCCTTTCCTCACAACTCCTGTTTTCTGCATATCAGCTTGTGATCTACTACTCCTGCCTTTAAAACTGTAAACTGTACTTTTTGAGGGAGGTATATAAGAACATAGGTGCCCGTCAGTCACTCCTATACAAAATAATGTAGAATACATGTCTGTCATTTCAGTCTGTAAACAAATAAATGTCAGTTGCAAACCCAAAAACTACTACTACTCAATCAAGTCTTCCTCTCTTTAATGGTCCTGAAATGTTCAAAACTAGAGGTCTTTCCACTTGGCAAGTATTGAGTGACTGATTCTAATCTGCAAACCTATCAATTCCCTACAGATGTGATCATTTGAGTGAAACTGTTTTGCACTGCAATCAGTGATGTAACAGCACACATTCAGCTATTGACTGCTAACTGAAAACACCTGCTGTGACATCACTGACCGAGATGGAGGTGCTTGTACAAGTAAACTTCTGATTTACACTTTAATGTACCTTGAGGCTGTGATGTGAGAGAGGAAACGCACTTTCTCCTAACCCTGCTTCCCTGTGGCTCACCTTGATGATGTACTCCTGTGTGTCTGCCACCACTGAGGAGAATTCCACCAGGACAGCGTGAGGATCGTCTGAGATGATGGCTGCTGTAGCGAGGCTGTCCACAGACACCTGCTCCTCTGTTAACGCACCCTGCTGCTCGCTGGAATCGTCCTTATGGCAGCCTCCTGGTGGGAATCACAGCTTGTGTTATCAGGTATGTCCGTGTCACTGCCACAAACCCTTGTTTTCTGTAAGTTTTGTTGTCTTGTCAATCACACTGACCTTTAGCACGCATATGCCGATTGAGAGTCCCGTGCTCAGCAAAGCCTCGCCTGCACTTTGGGCACTTGAAAGGCTTCTCTCCGGTGTGATGGCGGATGTGTCGCACCAGGGAACCTTTCTCCCTGAAGCCTCTCAAGCAGAACTGACATACGTAAGGTTTCTCATCACCATGGGTCCGCTGGTGCACCTGCAAGGCATTCTGAGCAAGACAAAGACAAATGTTAGAGATGGCACTGGAATGCCTTTTGATGTCTCTGAATGGTAATGTGAGGACAAACTATGCACGAAATAAAAGCTTAATGTTCAATACAACACAAGACAAATATCAACAAAATCACCTTGGTCTTGTACCCCTTGTTGCATCTGGCACAGTGGTAGGGTCTCTCATCCGAGTGGGCCCTCATGTGCTCACGTACATGCCCGATGGTTTTGTACAGCTTGCCACACTCACCACACTTATACCTCCTCTCACTGACATGGACTTCCATGTGTTTCTTCAGCAGGTAACCAGTCAGAAACTCCTTGTGGCATAGTGTGCACTTAAAGGGCTTGTAACCTGCATAAAGAGAATGGATTCAGAAAGAAAAATTTAATATTTATCAATGAGTCTCAACTGCTTTCTTGTAATTATTTTTTTGGGGGGGGGGGCTTATTTATTGGGCTATATAAATAAAACTGACTAGACTTTAAGAGGGTAGCATACAGTGTTAATGTGAGTTACTTTATATTTAGCTTTGGCAATATTGTTGCTATACATTCATGCCAATAAAGCTAATTTGAATTTGATAATGTGAGTCATTACTAGTTATGGATTTACCCAAATGGCCCTTGACATGGAAGCGGAAGTAATTCAGTCCCTTGAAGGAGCGATTACAGTGTGGACATGTGTACAGTCTTGAGGATGTCTGATGACCTCCGTCACTGACTTCCTGCAAAAGAAACAAAAGCAGACCTGCTGAGAATCATTTCAAATGTTTCTGGAAGCGATCCAATCACTGCCTCCCCTATCAGTTGTTATTAGTGGATTTCAAGCTTGATGTCACTGTTTTATTATGAAAATGAAATAAAAATGTAAAAGAACTTAGCGATTAACAGCCTTTTCTTTTGTTGCTGACCCTTAAACAACATCTACTGTTGTTATACAATTAATTTCATACATTTCATTAAATAAGTAAATAAAACAGTGAAAGTTGTGTTTGTGTGTTAATAAATTAAAAAAATATATAAACCATAAAAATTCCATAAATGTTAAAAATAAAAGTAAATAAATAAAAAAGTAAGCGTTCGTGTGTGCATGCTTGCGTATTAATAGCCAAAAAATTTAATAATTAAAAAAAAAAAAAATCTGTATCAAATGTGAAATTTAAAACAAAACAATTACTAAAATATCAAACAAAAATTAGTACAATTATTTATCAGTCTGAGTTTCCACTGGTTGTCCTCACTTCATGGCATGAGGAGATATATTTTGCAGCAATTATTTGACATTTGGGCATTTCTCCCAGTAAATAGGGGAGTTTCTAAGTGTCTGATATAAATGTGAATTTGGGGTATATTTGGGAAATGTTTGCAATGTTTTTTGTCTTAGATTTTTATATTTAGGGCATGAGGTTAGAAAGTGCAGCTCTGTCTCTACCTGTTCTCTATCACATTGGGAGCAGAGTCTCTCCTCTTGTGGTAGCCAGCTCTGTCTGTGGCGACCCTTTTCTATGACCAGGCTGTGTTCACTTAGTCTGTGTGTTGTCAACATTTTTCTTTAGTTTAGGACATTTTATTGTGCTCAGGTAATTTACCAGTGTGAATTCTCTTTTTAGGGTCAGATAACATTGTAATTTACTTTGTGTTTGGGTTGCTTCTTCCAGTATTCAGTATATTTTTATTTCTGCTTGTTTATAATTTGGTTTGGTCTGCTTGAGTTGGTGTTGCTTTCCTGAGGCTGTTGGGGACATGTTACTGCAGAGAGCCTCAGGATGATGTTGACTGCAACTGGCAGCAAAGTGTATAAATATTGGCAGAAGCACAGTGTGCTCTGTTCTCTGCAGCTCAGGTGCATCTCGAGCAAGAACACAGCACGGCAATGACTTGGCTGAATTGAGGACTGAGCTAAACACACATCATGCTGTGATACAGTCAATCATACACACACTGCAAACACTAACAGGAGTTACTGTTAATCTCCAAAAGAAGAATCCGTAATCAGGAGTCAAATCACAGATCTAGTACTTTTGGAGTAATGGAAAGCTAATATTTAACAAACTGATAAGGAAAACAGACTACAAAAAATAAAAAATGTTAAGGAACCAATGTTGACCCTGTTTTAAAACAATACAATCCCAGTGAATCTCATCCTTACCTCTGCCTCCATCTCCACAAACTCTTCTTTAACCTGGATCTCGGTAACACCCTCATCAGTATCCGGACAGTCAGAAACCACTTTATCCATCTCCTCGGTTGCCTGTGAGGTCTCCTCAACCACGGCTTCCTCTGTCTCCAGTGCAATGCCAGAGTTGATGATGGCCTGGCAGATGAGATTGTCGCCTGCTGCAGCAGCAGCAGCCAGGGCTTCGGCCTGAGACTGCTCTACCACGACCTGGCCAGAGGAACACCAGGTCAACAGAGTAGGTCGGATAAGAGTAACAGGCAAAACCATCTCATACTAAATCCCTATGCCATACCTTTTTTTTAACCATTGTACCAAAAGGTATTTAAAGGATGTGTTTTGTGTGTACAATGATTGGTAACTGCCTGTAGAGGAATTTGAGCACCCTTTCTCCACTCACCTGTTGCTCCTGCGTTGTTCCATCCACCTCCATTGTGAAGTGGACCTGATGGAGGACCTCTTGGGAACCAGCCTCTACCACACTGACGACAGCAGTCTGAGCCTCTACCATCTCCTGTCCCTCTGACTGTTGCTCCACAACCACAACCTCCTGCTGGCCAGCCACTGCAGCGTGATCATCTTCGACTCCTGAACAATTTACACAGACCCGTAAGTGACTCAGTGAATGGCCACTTCCTTAGCTATTCTAAATCTATTTGTTAAATCCAGTCCTTCATAGTCAACTTTTAAAAGTTCTCAAGTATTCCATCATTATCTACAGCTCATTTGCTACCGTCAAGCTGCCCTCTTCAGCCCAGAGAGACTTGGCACAAGGTAACAGCTGCTGCAGTATAAATCTGACCTTTTTGTACTCCATCTTTGCTGACCAAGATCTCTTTGTACTGAACAAAGCGGATCTTTTCTGTGCACGGCGTGAGGGCCTTAAGGTGTCTTGTTAAGGCACCAGACTCTCTGAAGGACTGGCCACAAAGGTTACAGCGATACGGCCGCTCATCTGCAAGAAAACAGGAAGAAAGTTCTGTTATCCTTAGGTCAAAATAATCAGAGGACATCAATTCAAGACAGAAACAGTTCCCGTTTACTCTCTGTACCAGTGTGACGACGATTGTGACGAATCAAGGAGCCTTTTGTGCGGAAGGAAGTCCCGCATAAGTCACATGAGAAGTTCTTCTGGTCACTGTGAGTTTTCATGTGAGTTCTCAAGATGTTAGTCTGTTGGGTGAAAACAGAACTATTAGAGAGAAAACATTGGCAACTTAAAGTGTAATAAATACCCTGCCTGGTATGAAACAAATTTTTTATTTATTTATATGTATTTATTTATTTTTTTTTTCCTGATTTAAAAAATAGCACATGAAAATTAAATGTATGATTCACCGTTTTAAATGTCTTTTCACAAAGTTGGCAAATGTAGCGTCCCTCTTGGTTGACTTTGTAAGCATGCTTGTCACTGTCAGCATTGTCAGATATGGATCCTTCAGTCCCATCTGAATGGTCAGTGACTTTAAGTGAAACGATTTTCTTCCTGCGACCTCGACCCAGTAGACTGCTGTTTTCATCTATGTGAAAAAAAAAAACAACAACAGACAAAATAACCCTTAAATATCCCTGCAGAGCTAAAGTCTAATTCACAAGTTGAAACTATGTCGACTAGAGCTGAAATTTGCAGCATTCGGTGATGGCAGCTTCTGAAAGTATGGATTTTATACATTTCTCACATATACATAAACTGAATATCTTTTGGAAGCTATAATGTACCTTTTAACTTTTTTCTGACATTTCATGAACTAAAAATAATCAGTAATAGAAAATAATCGGCTGATTAATTGATGACGAATAGTTAATTGCTGTTCTAATGCTGACTCACCATTAGAGGTCTTTACTGGTTCATCTGAGGATGCACCTTCAGCTGTTTTCACCTCTGACGAAAAACTTCCATTGGTTTCAGTAACCTGGCACAAAAAAAAAAATGCAGATATCACATTTGTTCTGCTGTTTCTAGTGGTTGCTGGATATGAACACCACATAACACAGTTCGTACCTTTTGACTGGCATCCTGGCTGGTTGCCTCCACGCGTTTGCAGTTCTGGTGCAGCTTGTGCTGGATGAAAGCCTCAAGCGTGGAAAACTCGGTCTGACAGCGTCCGCACTTGTGCACATCTTCATCTGACAGTACAGGAGCAACATTTCACTATGAGACAACTTTTTCTAGCGTGTTTGTGCTGCCAGTTAGCACCTAGCTGATGTAACTTAAAGGTGTCTAAATACGAACTGGCTGGACTTCCAGTCTGGATAAAGCTGCAGCGAAGAAGCGAACTCGCTAATGTTGTTGCTAATGGCAGCTAGCTGCTAGCAACATTTCATGATGGAGGAAGTTAGGCCCAAACACACTGTCTGATAAACATTTCAGTCTTGTTTGAGCGACGAAGAGAACTCACCTTCATCTCCTAATGTAGTCTGAATGGTGATCGTCTCGTTGCCGTTCTTCGTTTGCCCACTCTCTGTTTCTGCCGTATGATTATTTTCTACATTCATGTCGTTCGACTTCTCCGTCTCTGTCGCAACGCCGCTACAAGGAGGGAAAACATGGCGGATTTACGACCTCGTAGTCATAACAACAAAAGGGCGCCTGCGTGTGTCTTTCCATCGACAGAGAGGAAAAAATCAGAGTCATGGAAATAGGAGACTCTTTACATGGTTTTAATCTAATTTTGGTCATAAATCATCCATAAATATCCATAAATCCATATTTCAAATTATTCAAAAATGTGTCTGAAATACAATTAAAGATCTATATATAATTGATATAGATGGCTTCCCTTTATCTACTTATAAATGTGATGAATATATTTGGGGCAGCACTTTATCAAGGGCCCCTGAGAGCTACAGTGCACCTGGAGAACGATGTGCTACACCCTTTTTAAATTCAAATCAGAATATGCAGATAAATTACAAACCAAAAATAAACAGGAGTCCTGGCAATTAATGTGGAGATCACAGCCTCTTCTGGTCTGACAAAATGTTGTTTTAGGATCCAGTGATAATGGTAAATTCAACTATAATTTCTGTAAATCAAGAGTCTTCATTATAATATAACTGATAGTAGGTCGCCTGTTGCTTTACTGTACCAGTTAAGGAGATGGATTAATAATACCATGTCCCTGTGAGAAATGCTTTACAGTGTTTACAGTCTTTTCAGTGGCATCAGTAGAGAAAAGCAGCACCATTGTGATGACAGTGACATAGCTTGGAGGGGGCTCGGGGGTCCATATGGTGCATTTTTCTCCAAAAAGGCCCCTAAAAGTAATGACTATATGACTATAACAGGTGATTTAGCAACACACTAGGCAGCAACTGTGCATATTCAACAGTTCAAAAATCTATTTCTTGTTGACACTAATTTGTCTTGCAAGGTCACTTGCATCTACAAAGGAGAAGCTGTTCTGTTCAAAGTGTACAATGAACTTCTTATTATATAGTCCCTTTTTGCAGCAATTAAAAATGACAATAAAGACTTTGAAAAGAATAACTAAAACATGTAAAAGAGTGAAACAGTTTACAGGGAGAAGCTTAAACAAAAGTAAAACTACAGGCCCACTTTGGAAAAAGCAATGCTTGTGTGAAGGGGTGCAGCAACATGAAGCTGTGAATATGTTTTTTAAATTAATTTTGTAGAGAAAATCACCTATAATTCATATTTATTTGTTTCTTGGCCTTGATGTTTCCCAGTACGTCACACTTAACTTAGGTGAACATCACTCATCAACATTTTAGTAGATTCATTTTTGTAGGTTACCCTTATTATAGGCTTACAGGACGTGTGAAACTTATGCGATACAAAAAAACATACTGTAAGAGATGACAGATAAGCGGCAGCATCTGTTTGGTAGTGAGGTTTATCTCTGCTGGAGTAGTTGATCAACGATCGCTATTCACGACACAAAAGTAAACAACCAACACTTTACGGCAGGAAATATGGCTTCTCACTTCAGCGGTGTGCTGCAGTTGACAGACCTCGATGATTTTATCACCCCCTCTCAGGTAGTGAAACTACTGTAACACGTTATAACATCACATTTATTTTAAAAGGACATAATTTAGTTAACGGCAATGATTCCCATCACATAGAAAAGCAGCTAATAGAGAAAACGTACTGAAGTAACGTTAGCTAGCATGCTCACTAACTGTTAGCATGCTCATATCAGTGCTCAAAAGTAACCACAACCTCGACTCCTTCTGGACAAAAGCTTATCATAATGCAATGTTACTGAATCGGTTTAACCGTTACTGATCACTAAACCCGCTAACGTGAAAAAACATCGAATGTGTGCTCAGAAGTTAACTCACTGCTAATGTTAGCAATGATGTTAAACTAACTTGCGATGAAATAGTAGATGAATGCAATGTAAGTTAATGACTTATTTTTTAGTGGATACAGAATAGACAGCACGATAATGTTGCTTGAGTTATTGCCCATAGTGTCAAGTTGAATGGCCATGATAACTATAGACCAGCTACAGGTATTTTACCAGTTAATATTAGATTTATCACCTGCCATTCTCGTTTCTTTGTTGTTATAACAGTTAACTCAGTTCTGTCAGTGCATTTGAATGTTTCATACATTGCCGGGTTTATCATGTTCATAAAGTTAATTTAAAAAACGGAACTGTACTTTGGTTTACATATGTAGTTTCTGTTTTTGCAGGAATGTGTCAAACCTGTCAAAGTAGAGAAGAAACAAGGTAAATCTGTGGCCATAATTCAAATAGAAGATGATGGCAGTTATGTGCAAGTCAACCAGGTTGGTATCAAGGCTTCACCTAAACCTGTGTGTGAGTTATTCAAATTGAAGTATTGAACTACCATTTACTTTGAGTTTGCCTTGTGTTTGTAGGATGGTGGGAAGCAGAAGCTGGAGAAAGCAAAGATCACACTGAATGACTGTTTGGCCTGCAGTGGCTGTATCACCTCTGCTGAGAGTGTCCTCATCACGCAGCAGAGCCACGAGGAGCTGTTTAAAGTGCTGCGCAACAACAAGGTAGAGATGGATATGTGTGTTTGAATGCTTAAATAGCATTTGACTGGTCATGATTGCTTCTGCAGCCTTTTCAATGCGATAGTAATCATTTCGGGTGTCACTATACGTCATTTGGACTTTCTTGATAGGCCAGTGCGACAGAGCAGAAGGTGGTGGTGGTGTCGGTGTCACCGCAGTCCAGAGCCTCCCTCGCAGCACACTATGACCTCAGCAGTAGTGAGGCAGGCAGAAGGCTTACTTCTTTCCTCAAAGGCCTTGGTGAGTTCAAATATTGCTTTTTCTGATCTATGTAAGTCATACAACTCAAAGTTGAACAGGAAATGAAAATGAGAGGTTGATTTACAGTCACTTCTGAAGATTATTGTCGTTATTGCAGGGGTTCATCATGTGTTTGATACAAGCTTCAGTCGGACCTTCAGCCTGCTGGAGAGCCAGAGAGAATTTGTGGAGCGTTTCCAGAGAAAGGAGCAGGACAGCAAGGGTCTTCCCATGCTGACATCAGCCTGTCCAGGTATTCCACTAAAAACCCTGTATCATAATGTTGGAGCATCCTTCATTTCCTGTCAGCTCACTATTGTCCAGTGTCTAATAAAAGCTAAAGTGCCCACCCCTCCCAAAAGTTTTACAATGTTGATTTTATTGACCATTTATTATACTAATTAATTATCATTTTATATTTAATTAATTAATTAATTAATTAATTTCATGTCTCTTTGTGCATGCGTGCGTATGTATGTGTGTGTTTTCTTCAGGTTGGATTTGCTATGCAGAGAAGACCCATGGAGAGTTTATTCTTCCATACATTAGTACCACTCGCTCCCCCCAGCAGATGATGGGTTCTTTGGTTAAAGGCTATTTTGCTGAACAACAGGTACCGATATCAGATATTGCAGTGTAGTCGAGTTTATTATTTCTTCCTAGAGTTCACATCTGAGAGTTATTGTTCCTGTAATCTACATTTAGTAGCTGCTTTGTGGCTTTTCTTCTTCTAAAATGGCAAAAGTACTTTTTCAAATAGAGAATGCTTGGTTTGTGTATGAATTAAAAATATTTAGCACCAAAGCAAAAGGGGAGCGTTGACTCCTGGGGTATCCTGTGCTGGAAGTTGACAGTTAACTATGTGTATACATTTATGGTTATCAAAACAGAGAGAATAATGAGTTGCCACTGAACTGTGTATTGTGTGTGTTGTTAGGGGATAAGTCCACAACAGATCTACCATGTGGCAGTAATGCCTTGCTTTGACAAGAAACTTGAGGCCTCGAGGTCAGACTTCTACCTGAACAATGCTGAGACTCGAGAGGTGGACTGTGTCATCACCTCCGGTACAGAAACTGCTCATATGATCTTTGCGTGTATGAATGTGAAGTACCTCCTCTCTTATACTTTTCACTGTTTCACGCAGGAGAGGTTCAGAAAATGTTGGAGGAGAAAAATGTGTCTCTAAATGATGTGGAACCTGCACCCCTTGATACAATGTAAGTTCTGTGGTGTTTTCCCCTTGTTAGCCCCCCCCCCTTTAAAATAAGCCATAGCATAAATTTCCAGAAGAAGAGAAGAACTCACACTCTGCAAATTATTTTTGACCCAGGTTCAGCAGTGTGAGTGGGGATGAGTTCCTGAGCCATGCTGGGAGCGGGTCAGGGGGTTACCTCCATCATGTCTTCACATATGCTGCCAAGAAGTTGTTTGGGGAGGAGGTGAAGGAGCTCACCTACAAGACCCTTAGGTGAGTCTGTCTCAACAGCTTTAAGATGGCTGGTTTATGGTCATTTGTGGTTTAATGATCTCAGAGCAGCTTTCTTTGTAGATCATTCTTTATTATAAGATCACCCGAGCAAGATCCCAGCTCATTGGTGTTGCTTTAGAGAGTTTACATGTGTAGGGACCAACTTTTGTATACAAATGATGAATTGCACCAGCTTACTTGTTTTGTACCTCATGTGTAAACTGTTAAGAATTTCTGCCTGAACCAGTTTTCCCACCTCAACCCCTCTGCGACAGGAATAAAGACTTCAAGGAAGTGACTTTAGAGAAAGATGGAGTAGTCCTGTTGTGCTTTGCTTCTACATATGGCTTTCGCAACATCCAGAACCTGGTTCAGAAACTCAAGAGGGGGAAGTCGCCTTACCACTTTGTGGAAGTTATGGCCTGTCCATCAGGTAAAGTGAAATATGCGGATGTCCTTCATGTGTGCTGTTACAGCATATGTTTGCCACACTTAGGGTGACCAGAAGAGAATGGGTAAAATTCGGGACTGTTCATGAAGTCACCTGTCTGTCATTAAGAAAAACACAACAACTGTGGAAATGTAACAGGGGGTAAATCATGATCTTTTACCTAATTTTTATTTTATTTTATTCTGTTCATCAGTGCACTGTCTGCGCAACGCGCATGTTGGATGTTGGGTTTCTATAAATAATATCACAGAGTACAGTATAGACCGGCTCTTTTATGAGCACTATGAAATAACTGTTGTTGTGAATTGGTGCTATAAAAAATAAAATTGAATTGAATTAAAGATCTCTCCGCCGTGGCTGCCTGAAGCTACACTTTCCCTGTCCTCGTGACTGTAACTTCCACTAACCACAAGAAAACAAAAAGGGGAAAGAGCATGAGTGTTAATTTGTGGCTATAACAACATAACGATCAGTATTTAATGATTAATTAGGCTATAATCAAAACCCATGTTTAGTCTAATTTTCGGAACAAACCGGACAGGAGTCGGGACAACAGCTCTTAAATCAGGACTGTCCCAAATTTTTCGGGATGTCTGGTCACTCTAGGCACACTAGAGATGGAGGCAGTTAATACTATGAGACATAAGCTTGTTGTTATGATAACTTATCATAAATGACACACTTGTTACATATATGTACATATGGAAGCTATAAAGTTATAACTGACAAGCTTAACTTGCATGCTAGTCACACTAGCACTGCTTGACCAATTGAATGTTTGGAAAGTGATAACCCAGCATGTCCCCCCTCACCTCTTGTTAATCTTCAGGCTGTCTAAATGGTGGTGGACAGGTGAAGCCCTTAACTGGTCAGAACCAAAAGGAGCTCCTCCAGAAGGTTGAGGAGCTCTACAAGGCAGAGCGCCCCCTAACGCCAGAAGATGACACCTGCGTGGCCGAGCTATACCAGTCCTGGCTACACAGTGTAGGGGAGGAGAGAGCCAAAGAGCTGCTGCACACACAGTACCACACTGTGGAGAAGATGACCACCGGACTCACTATGAAGTGGTGAAGAACGCATTTACTGCAATCCATGGTCAGCAGACACTGACTACAGAACCGTCCAAATATATGTGACTATTTCTGTCTCTCTTCAGAGTGAAGAGAAGGGTAATGGGCAAAGTTGAATATAATCAGGTTTGATGAGTGCCAACAGCCTTTTTAAACCACTTTCCTCCTGGTCAAAAGCTTTATGCCTTGCAAGGTGGCAGACCAAGGCATAGGTTATAGACACAATGCTGAAGCCAAACCAAATTATGTATATGGTCTGATAATTTGCCCTTATACTGCTGATTGGCTTTTCAAATGTATAAATAATTAATTTGTGTGGCACCGGTTACACTTTGAAAATGTGAGCTGAAATAACAAAGCAATATATAATCATTCATTGTTTATTTAACTATATGCTATTATATATAAAATTAAAGATATTAATTAATTGTAGCCATTTGTTTTGACTCCTTTTTAAAAGATGGTAAGAATATATCCAACATATTTATTCAGACAGATGTTTTATTGAATAATCTTGACTCTTGAGGTACAGTTACTGCATAAGCTCGCAAACCGTGAGGAGAAGCAGCTATTTAGATTCATAGCGATGTCCACTGCATGTTTGTTCTACTATGCGCTGGCAGTCACAAGGTCACCTGACAGAAAATAAAATGAAAGAACTGTTGTAATGCAAATAAGCCATATAAAAATTAAGCTTATTTTTCTCCCAAAACCAGTTATTTAAAGCAATAAATACACAAAACACATGTACATTAGTATTAGCAGATGTTACTTGGTACAGTTCCTAACAGACTGGGAGACCAACCCTTAATTAATTAGGTTGTAGGAATATTTAATAAAAGCAGCTTTATACTGGCCTTTTTGTGCAGACATTATTTTATAATTACAAAAACAACACGCGTCCATGGCAGTCAACCAGGCCCCCGAGCAGTGTGAATTGGTTAAATGTAGGGTTAAAGCAACAAACATCACACTGTACAGTCTTGTGTCTTGCTGCATTCAGCTGTTCAAACTGGGTCTGAGAAGCCCCCATTCCAAAGCCAACATGGCATGAGGAGGAAGTCTCTCCTTGGGCTTCTTAAATTTGTCCTTCTCCTTCCGCAGGACCCTCAGCACCTCTATGGGGTCCGTCTTCCCTGTGAACTTTTGTACTCCTTTCTCCCTACAGTAAAGGAAGAGGATTAGAAAGAAAGATTAACGACTGAGACAATTTAGTTTTTTCTGATTTTAGAAAACCACTGATTAATCTTGAAACACAGGCTCACCAAATTTGCCAGTTTTACCAACATTTCAAGTAGACTAAAAATATAAATTAGTATTTCTATAGCACTGCTACACAGTGATTCATCATTAAAAGAGTGGCTGAGGGAGTCGCTGCAAGAAACAACAAAACAAGCATAATTTCCCTGAATCCCATTTTTAAAATTGGTGGTCAAACTCTACAGCCATTACTGAAATGGCTGGAGACATTTTTTCACCTGACCCAGCCTGTCATGTTTCATACATACTGTGTAGAAATATCTAAACTCACGAGAGGCGAAGAAAAGGGTTGTAGTCAAACTCTTCCATTAGGGTAGATGGCACTGTGGGTTTGTCATCATCATCTCTTGCCTGCAGAAACAAAGATTTGTGAGGCAACTCTGCAAAATAACTATTAATATCTCTCATCTGTATTTAAAGGATTATACTTGCAATGTTCTATATTTTTGTTTTTGTCAGCAAAAACAACAATTAATTTATCTGAATAATTTAACTGTGCAGCCAAAGCCTGAAACATCACTTTCACTATGTCATTGACCTCCATTTTTGTATAAAAACTATTAAAAACACATCATTAAGCCAATTTCATTACCTTCAACATGAACACTGAAGTTTATTTTTGCTTCAATCCCACAAGCACTGTCTGGAAATACTCACTGGAACAGAAAAGTTGTACTCATCCACAGCTGAAAATAGTCCCCAGCAAATGCTCCATTTACTCCTTTTTGAGTGATGTTTGCTAAAAACTACAGTGCCCAGCGGTTTTAGGAAATTATTTAAATTAGTTATTTAAAAAACTGACACTATACATTTGTCAGCAGGTTTTAAAGATTTATGTCTTTCATGAGCTGAAACAGGAAGGTACAGCATTATGAGACAGACTAATACACCGTTAAAGTTTTTGTCTTTTGTTGACAAAAGCAGAGAACATCGCAAGCTTTATTCTTTCAGCAGTTGTCCTTGTATTGCTCACCCTGGCCCAGCTCAGCATCTCTTTAACCTTTTCGTTCTCTGGCTCCACCAGCATGGCAAACTTCAGGTTCTTAATGGTATACTCATGTCCACAGAACACCTTCTACAGATGAACAGAGCAAAGATTTAAAGCTAGGATTTCTGGTTAACTCACACCTAGCAGTAGAGTTACTGGGCTTTGTGCCATTTTTGAGAGGTTCTGTACTAAGAAGGGAGAAAAGAGGGCCAGGCTGCACTCAATCCCCTCATTGTATGAGTGTTTACTCATCACTGTGACTCAGTCTTACACCAGCTCTTATCTGAGGTCATGTCAGCTGCTGTTAACCCTGTGCGGGCTGCACAAAGCCACAACAAATATCTCTTATTTCCACTAACCGTGTCTTGAGGTAGGGAGCCGAGCACCTGAGTGAGATTGTGGTACATCTGTTCTGCTGTACCCTCAAGAAACCGCCCACATCCACCAATAAACAACGTATCCCCTGACAACCAGAAAGGACAGGCAAAGGGCAGTGGTCAGTCCCGGTCATCCCATACAACAAGAACAATGGACAATGTCCTGGACAACAAAGATTCATATCTCTAGCCACTCAAAAATAAGTTATTACATTAATGCAATTTATGATTGATTTTGCCTACATACAGTGGGTGTACTGTACAGGTATAAGCTTTAAGTAGAACTTATTCTCAGATTTCAACTGGTTCGCCAGCTCTTTACGTTTACAGACAAAGACCTGTGAACACAGCAGGGGCGTCAGTGCACTCATCCTCCCAAACAAAGTAGCACATGTGACCAGAGGTATGGCAGGGAGTAAACAGACACCTCACATTGATGGAGTTAAACTGCAAAATGGAGAAAACACAATGTAAGAAGACAATATGGCAGAGACGCAACAGGAAAAGCTGCATTTTGAAATCATAACTGGAGCACTGTCAAGGTGGAGACATTTTAATCCTGTTACTGTGTGGGCACCTTGAGCTCCTGGGCGTTGGTGACTTTATCCGTCAGACCCCCGATCCGATCATCTCCCCCGAACACCCTCAGCCCAGGAACCTCCTTCAGCAGAGCCTCATTGCCTCGAGCATGGTCCCTGATTAGTGAGAACAGGTTTGTTAATCATTACTTTAGCAATTATTTGTTCTGGTATTACTGATTTACTTTAAGTCATGGCCACCCCCTCTTGTGCCAAACAGTCTCACCAGTGATGGTGTGTGGTGAGAACAGCTGTCAGAGACAAGCCCTCTCGCTTCACTATTTCTAGCAGCTGTTTAAAAAAACAGATTTCCACCTGTTAGCAGCACTTCACATATGTATGCATCTCATTAGGGCTAGTTATCTTTCAAGCAACAAGTGGTAAACATTCTTTGGTTCCAGCTTCTAAATTATGGGGAGATTTCTTTGTCTATGTGATAGTAAACACAATATATTTGGACTGTTTTTGGACTGTGGGTCGCACAAAACCATGCAATTAGGTGACATCACTTTGGCCTTTAGTAAATTGTGAAGGATATTTTCACAATTTTCTGAAATTTTATAGACCAATTAATCAAGATAATAATCAGCAGTGTAATAAATGGTAATTTGTTTTTTGGTTTCTTCATTGTTCAAATATATATATTTTTTTATATCAGTGAGATGCCAATCCTTTCTGATAAATGTATTATGTTTTATTATTTTGTTACTTGTCCAAACACAGACCAAAAAAAACAAAACAAACCCAATATATACCAAACAGAAGTCTCTGTCTCTCACCCGGTGTGGTACAGCAGGGTCCACAGCTACGGCCTGCTTACTCCGCTCCTCAATCACCAGGTACATGTAGTTGTCCTCCAGGATGGAGATCACCTTAACCTTCATGGCACCCTCAAACGCATGCGCACCACAGTGCGTGACACTTAAGGAAGACTTAATTAGTAAACATTACTTATATCGACATCTGCACCAGTTTTTAATTTATCACTAATTCTGTTAATGCTAATAAAAACATTCAACTGTACACTTCTGTTAGCAGGTGTCATGAAGCTCAGCCTGAACATTAAAGACAAATCAAACAATCTACACACGTCCAGAAAAACATGGTTACCTCAGATTAAATGATTGCGATTAGGCTGTTTTATCCTTGTGCGGCTGTGATGCCCCGAAAATCATTATTGTACATTTCTGCATTCGGACCGGGAAGTTATCGCGACATCATCGAGCCAGGGCTATCAAATCCAAGACATTTTAATCGAGCCGGAAACACTCAACAGTGTCAGTTTGTGATGTTCTAAATAAATAACATATTGTGTCTTCCCTTATTTATCGCATTGTTATTTTACTATGTTCTTAATGAATGTAAATTATCTGTTCTGTATGAACGTGTCACGTTTAAATTCGAGTTAGTATTCAGTATTTTGTGCCCAATATTAGACTTGAAACACATGCTCACCAAAACCTGCTTGAAAATAAAGAATTTAGTTGTTTTTTTTATCTTTGATTTTAAAAATTGTGATGAATGACTCAAATCTGGATGTAAAATACTTAGAAGGAATATAACACTCTCATTATGTATTACTAGTAGTGATTTACTCAAATATTAGTTAAGTATTTTACTTGAATATATTTTCTACTATATTTCTACTTCACTACATATCGAGAGAAAAAGTACTTTGTCAGCCAGATTAAGTGAAGACATCTGTGTTGTTGTGCAGGGAATGACTGTAGCTTCAAGTAGACCTGCTACATTAAAATGCTGCCTAACTGTTATTACTGTTGTCCTGTAATAATGAAATTATGATATATCTGATAATACAACACTTTCATTAGTGACATTAATGACATACTTTTGATACTTCAAAGTACATTTTGAATGTGAGACTTTTATTTCTACTGAATTAAAATAAATGTGTTTGCTTTTTCAAACGAACATCATGCAATATTCTTTGTAAGATTGTACTTTACATGCAACAGCATTCAGGATATCTAACATTTAATGCTGACACACCAATACGTAGACAATGCTTTGCAAACAGAATGGTTTTCAATGAAGTAAGAAATAAAAATGCACTTTACGTAATAAACAACCAAACTTAACTTTGTGCTGCTATGTCGACCGAAATTTCCCCTACAGGGTATTAATAGTTATATCTTATCTTATCGGCTTCAAAGGAAATATGGAAATAAGTCGCATACCATTCAACATTCCAGGTCAGAATAAAACATT